CTGGCTGGAGCAGCGCTAGTATCAGCTGTGCTGCTGGGGAAGGAGCAAGGACACGGAGGAGGAAGAAGACCAGGACTAGGAAGGGGCGCGCCAGAGGTACTTACCTGGCTATGGTGGTTGCCATCTTCATCACCTTGGTGGGCGCTGGAGCAGGAAGGCCCCGTTGGGGCAGAGCTACACCAAGAAGCTTTGAGGCAGAGTCAGGCATGGCGGCCTGAGCTAGAGCAGCCATAGCTGCTTTGTGTTGTCCTTTGGACAGCAGGGTGATGCCCCGGTAGTCCGCCATAGCCTCGGCCTATGAGAGAGAAGAGGGAGAGGGCGACCATGGCTATGGTGGACCTCAAGTGATACCTGCAGTAGAAGAGGGAATCGGACATTGATTCAGGATCAGCCATTCAACATTGTTATTATTATTCTTGTTTGAATAAGAGGGGAGAAGATAAGGAGGAGGAGAGTGGTTGGCGAAGAAGAAGAGCATTATCATTGGTCTATGCTGGTGTACATCATCTTCTTCTTCTTTCTTTCTTCTTCTTCTTCTTCTTCTTCTTCTTCTTCTTCTTCTTCTTCTTACCCTCTCTCTACTCTCAAGTTCATTCATTTGGTTTTGCAATTGGACGGCATTGTACTTTCTGATGAATGTGTACTTCGAAATTGGCCAGGATCATAACACCTCCATCTTCCATGTGCTCCAAAAGGGCAGCCCGTGGGAGTGACACCCACAGCAAAGACTCTCTGAGCCTCCTCGTGAAGATATCGTGACCATCACTCCAAACAAACATTCCCGCCCAAAAAAGTTGTGGCCACCCACAAACATGCCTTCATTAACAAAAAGCCCATGCTCTACAGCAGGGCAAAGAATTAGGCCATGTATGAATAAAGAACAACCAACAAATTATCCAACCAGCTCGCTAGTATACGCCTGATCCTAGCCGCCCAAACATGCCAAAACAGAGAGCTAGCAAGACCAGAGTGTGTGTTTTTCAACATCTCCAAACTCTCTCTCATTCCATCCACATACCATCGCAAACCATCCATAAACAAAAAAAAGTAAAGATGAGAAACATAATAGAAGGTTTAAGGTTTCCCACTATTGTGTGGTTGAGCGGGAACTGCCTATACACGCGTCTGCCGCCAAAGCGGCACACTTGCACAAATATAAATAGCTTTTTCAATCTCTAAAAACAAAAGTAAAGGGCAGAAGAGAGTGCGTGTGTGTGTGTGTGTTTTAGATTTTCCCCACAACAGCCCCGATTCCACCCAGGTGAATAGATTCAGAATCAAAGCAGTCTTTGTCCTATTGCAGACAATGAGAGCATTTGAGTTGTCCAATATATTAAAGCAATAATTAGACAGTTTCTTGGTTGTCCTTGAGGTACCCCTTTCATTGTTCTTGCAGCTCCCCTTTTACTGTGCCTCTTACGCACAAGGCTGCCCACATTGATTGTGGTTGAGCGGCAGCTGCCCACATTCCCGTGTGCCTTCAAGGCCCACTTGCACGTTATTTCAGGAGGCAGAGTAAAAGGGAAGGTATGCTCCTGTGCATCTCTTCGGAGCTTCATTCTCCTGTTCATTTCACTTCAGATCTTCAGCTTATACAGTCTTTGTGTCCATCCTTCATCTTCATACTTCCGTTCATTTCATTTCTGATCTTCATATCATCTAGTCTCTTAATGATGCTCATTTTTATGTATTTGTTAGTAGTACAAAGGGAGTGGAGGGGAGGGTGGAGGGTGGAGGGTAAGGGATAGAAGCCGGAGTTCTCTAGGAGTATGGGGCAGGGGAGGTAGGGGCAACGGGAAGGAAAGAAATATGTGGAGGGCAGGATAGAGTATGACATGCAAAGAGCAGGGGAGAAGTGTGTGTGTGCAGGTGTGCGTGTGTGTGTGTGTGCGTGTGTGCGTGTGCAGGTGTGTGTGTGTGTGTGTGTGTGTGTGTGTGTGTGTGTGTGTGTGTGTGTGTGTGTGTGTGTGC